TGTATCCATGACATCGTCAATTTGCGTGATACCGATCGCTGCGGCCATTTTTGTCGTTCCCGATTAAGCAGTAATTGCTGTGCTGCAATTGTGTGTGACAACTATGCTCAAAAAATCAGTAACAAAAATAATAAGGCCACAGACAACATGGAGGAAACTTCTCACAGGGTTGCTGAAAACTCTTCGACAGCACACGACCGGTTTCGCCCTTGTTGGGGCTCATCAGGTAGGCGCAGCCCCCGAGTTTCCATCAACCTTATGTTCTACTTAAACCCAAATTGGACTGTTTTCGAGAAATGCACTCATTTGCAAATCATTTTGGTTTTCAGCAACCTTGTGAGTAGTTTCCTTCATGAAAATTAACTGCGATATCTCGAATATCGAACCAACTGAATCACGAGGCGGCCTGTGTGCAGCACATTCAGTTATAGAACATCACAAACGAGAGACTCAGTTGTGTCTCTCGTTAAAACCAAATTGATTTGCGAATCAGTGTATTCCTCGTCCATACACAACAGTGTGAAAACCAGGATTAAGTGTATGAACCTCGATAAATGAGAGAAGGAGAAAGAATCTAAATACACACCAGAATGTTGCGGTGATTTGGATTAGCAAAGCAGTTTTGTGATACTGAGGTTTGGAACTTGTTTATGGTTTTATTCAGGCATCGATAAGACTACCAGATACTCGCAAGAACTCAAGTTGTCTGCTGATAGAGCATCCTGCGAATAGCTTGCTGTAAACAGAATGTTAGCCAGTTTCTCACGATAGCATGGCCGTTAATTCAATAGAGATAGTGTGCTAAGATAGAGTAGAGTGGCTCATTCTTCATTGGTTCTCTAGTTCAGAGCAAAAAATTATTTTGAGTCGCGAATATAAAAAGCGAGTTCTGTGTCTAGGCGAACTTGATACATGGTCATAAATACGATCCCTGTCAATCATTTGTAATACCATAACTGAACCAATTTAAACAAGAATGCGATTTTCATTGCACATAATTCTGCTGCAGCTTCAGCTTAAAGAAGATCATAATCTTCGCATAGCTACGCCTGGCATTTGATCAATAAAGATGTCTCAAACTAGATCACGATAAACGAGACGTTGAGTGGCGCAATTTTGCCGAACGACACTTTTTGAGACTGGAATAATTAACACAGCCGCCTAGAATTCTTGAAGGCCAGGTCATGTCATATGATCACTGGCTGCTTTCTAGAAGCAATTTTCAAAGCTTACACAAAGCAAAGGCATTTTAGTTCTGTCGAGAGCAAAAAATGCGTTAACCATCTTAGACAATTCGTCGAGTTTTCTTAAGTACAGTTTCGTGTTGTCCAAATTCGAAAAAAACATCAAGAGAATTCGGAGCCAAAGCGTATTTGATAGGACGCAAAAGAGTGGGCCCAGTGGTGGGCTGTCTGCGTTTTTATGAATCGCACGGGTGGACTCGTATCACATTACGATCAACATGCTTGCATGCAGGCTAGTCAAAGGATGAAATATGAAGTTCACCAAGTTAAGTATCCACCTGTATCGTGGTACCTGTACTGTGGTAGCCTAATATCTGGAAGTGAGTTAAGCTTTTCTTGAATTCTGTATTTTAGAAACCATCTTCAGTTTCAGTACCACTAGATGACGTTACCCAAAACAGAGCCTCTGTAGATCTTGCGATTTTTTTCTCCAGAAACTCTTGATTAGGTGACGTGCAGTGTTGTGAAGATTTGCGCCACAACCGAGTGGCAAAGGAGTGAAGTGTCGATCACTCAAGGTCGTTTTGTTCGGACGCGCAAGTCACAGTTTCCGTTTGCGTCGCGCTCTGAACCAGACACACAAACCTTTGCCGCCGTTCGGCACAATGAAAGTAAATTTTCGAAAGTTATGATGTGTCCCAGATAGACTAACGCAATCGGTTAGTTTAGTTGAGAGTACCAGTCCAAACATTTAAGCTCCAATTGGGCATCCCGAGGACTCGGCGATGATGGAAAAGGCAACAAAATGCAACATTCTGACGTAAAACGTTTTACTCCACATAATTTTTTTTTGCAGCTGGGAAAATTGTGCGGATAACGGTCACCACCTTTGCCTGTTGGAGAGTTACTAAAGTGCCTCAGGCCTTTGTTCGTACGATCGACAACGAGCCGGGTGATCCCGAAGCCTCCAAAGAGACAGTAAGGTTGTATTTTCACCATTGTTTACTTGCGCGTAGCCCGGTAGGTTTTTCGAAACCAGGGATTGAGCTCAGCATAGGAACTCTACTGTGACCACAGCTGTGAATTTCAGTGGTTGGTGTGGTGTGGATAAGGCAGTTGCTGTGTTGGTGGCACCAGCACAGAAGCGCAAAGTCCGTGCGTTGGTATTAAATACATGTGGAGATCTACTGTTATTGAACCAGTGACTGGGACCCTCATCATTACGCAGTACGGAGTCAACAGAGTCAGAATGTGCCTAAAACCCAGCCGAGGTTGCATCCCCTTTTAGTAAACATTTCAAACTGTGTAAATGGTCTCAGACTGATCACATAGTTTCTCTTAACCTCTTTGGTACTAGCGGATCCGAAATGCAAAGAAAAAGATGGTCGAATAAACAAACTTATCCGCTCACCTAGTTGATTTGTTCAACGGATCACTACTCCATCAGGTTGCCCAAAAAGTCTACTGGTCTGGTTAAAGCTGCAGTACAACATGAGCTTATTGATTAATATGTACGTACACGTGAAAGTTGAATGACACCGATGCTTACTTCTTTCCTATTTGGTTTATGATGATACTGTTAGAAATGGGTTAAATTTCTGAGAACAAGCAATAGACCTCCTGTTAGCAAACAAAATACTATGTAATGTGTATACTACTGATGAAGCATAATAACAGTCAATGGTCTGGTGTCCAAGCTTCATCCCCACATCTATGGAGGGTGACTACTGATGAAGCATAATAACAGTCAATGGTCTGGTGTCCAAGCTTCATCCCCACATCTGATGGAGGGTGAGGTTTGTTACGGGACCGCTTTGCAGTGTTTATTTACTTTTGTGTATTAGTAAGTGAATAACAAGGAAGTTCTAGAGGACGCGTGAGAATCTTCAGTTTTTAAAAACTGTGGAAACTAGATATTGATTTTTGTGTCCAGTGGCTCGTAACCGTTCAGTTCGTGTTTGCTAATAAGTGACTTGTAAGACATAGTACTCCATTCCGTGGAGCTTGTGATTAGCTTTCGAGATATTTTATTTTATATTGCCGAGTCGCTGCATTGGGATTTAAGGCAGAATACGAAAAAATAAACTGGTAGGTGTATGGCTGTTTTTCGTTCCGTTACCTGAGGCTAATGGGGTGCATCCAGAGTTGTTAGTGCAAAAACCCATTAACTCCCGGTTCGATCCAAGGACTACAAACTTCATGAGCTTCTGAAATACTGAAGAAAACAAATCCTGTTTCACTAGTTATGATAAATTCCATGGTGTTTGAGTTGCATAAACTCTTGCCACAAATTAATCCGTTAGAAAGAGGCTTTCTTCGAAAAATATACAATTCTTATTCTTGGCGATTATCAGTCACATTTCTTGGATGTTTTGTTTCCCACCAGAACAAACGAGGAAAGTTTTAAAGCCGCTCTTACGTTCATAGATGAAAGTAAAAATCCATTTTATGCAAATATGTGGATGGGATTCAACGACAGCTAACATCTGATGTAACTTGGCATAGAAAATTGTAAAATTCCAACTGTGTACGGCTTGCTAGCGCCTCTCGGCTTTTGGGAATAAGCTTGGCAAACTGGCAGGGCGACATCTCAGTTGGAATATCCAAATCCCCTTATAGAATTCCAACTTTATGTTGTAGAAACAACGATAACCGAAGATTCGCGTTTTGACGCGTTACATTTTAAGCATTGTACAATGTTTTGTGTGACGGTGCTTCTGCTATTTGCAGAAGCGTTTTTGGAAGAAACCAAATTACCTTCTCTGACCAGTTGAATTGTCATAAAAACAAGGAACCTTAGCAACTGTATCATCCGCTTTTTTGCCGGAGGACAAAAATTTAGCAATAAATGTAAATCCTAAACAGCTTTCTGATACAAAGTGACGTTTTAATTTATTTGGAGCAGAAGTAACAAATGTTTGGTTTTCATGGATATATTTGACGGAAACCTACTGAAAAGCATGATAGTGATCTTGAGTCACAGTGAAAAATTTTCATTCTCCGTAATCTATCCATAATCAAAACCAATAAAAAAGTTTACATCCTGATATGACGATGAACAGAGGGGCGATTTCCTTTTGAGGAGTAAATAGATTATTTTAACGACATAGAACGTGCCTCTTCGTTAGTCTTGTCTATTTTGCATCCCCCGGGGATTACTGCAAAGAATGAAGATTCTGTGCCAAAATTGTCTTATATGACTAAGCTGTTTCCCCTTGAGGATTCACCTGTAAACAAGAAAACTGCGTTATATGCGGTTTAAATTTGGGTTTAAGCTACTTTTACAAACAAGGTTTTACTCGAAGCCTAAGAATTTGTGGACGTAGAAACTACGAAAGCTGTACCACAAATGCAAAGTGGTGCCTTTGAAGATAAACCCGATGAAATCCGACTGAAACAATGCGAAGGAGTCTTACGTTTTTAGTAGATTGTCTAGTATTGGGTATTTTTACGGTTGTATGGCCAAAGTTATAACACTTAAATGAATATCCTGTGCTGAACTGCCCTACATGAGGTATGACGAAAAAGTGCCGTGCCCAGGTTTGGAAATTCTTGACTATATGCTGTTTCATATGGTTGTTTAAACTAGCATAATCGGTGACAAAATTGTGAGCGATTTTCTTGAGCAGTTTCCAAAAGCAACTCAATTTTGCACAATTTGCCCTTCAAGGGCGACACATCATTTTGACCAGCCGATGCCATTCTATCCCAAACAACCTTTGAAAAGCAGTAAACTAATGTCATCCTTAGTTTGATGCAGTCTACTTTTGTCAGCATTGAATGCCTTTTCATTTCTTACATTTTCCTCCGTTTTAGGTTTACTTCAGATTTTCAAAAGGCGCCCTGTCAAACGAAACCGCCGGACTTGATTATTATGAAAACGAACCATACTTGATTGCGCTGCAAGCCTACTGTCGCGGTTGGTTAACTAGACAAAAATACGATCGCCTCAGAGTAAGTGGGAATTTGCTACTTCGAACAAAATTCCATAGACCACTAACATGGGGTATTGACTAAATGTCACCTGATCATAATGCGAGGACACAAACCCGTCAGCTGGATGCGTATCAAGCTGAAGAGTTCATATTATGCGTTTGCTTTGATGTGTCGGCTCAATGCAGTGCTTCGGACCAAATTCCAATCTCAGGTGTTGCATGTAGAGTGATTTCGCTGTCAGCCTGCCTAAATAAAAAGACCCAAAATATGTTGCGACCGCTCTGTTGACTGAGGATCTGTTCGGTTGATCCAGATAAAGTAAACAAATACCTCGTACACAGTGTTTATGAGACATCAGCAAATGTCCTCAAGTGCACAAGACTCCGTAGGTAGAACGTTAGTGAACTCCTTTTGAAACAATGCAGTGTGCTTCAATAACTCAACTGCAATGGCTGCTTAATCCAGAGACAATGATAAACGATTGTTGTAATTCAAATAGCCACCCACCGAGAGTATTTGACGCCTATTTACTTCGACACAACAATCCGACGATTATAATAGTTTCTCACCACATTACAAATCCAAACATATAGTTATCGACACTCTATCAACTTACATTTTTCGAACCACTGGCATATGTAATTGTAAGGTACACGAGTGTCTGCTTTCTATGTGAATCACTAAGGTTTTAATGGAAGGGATGGCTGAACTCTGCCTACCATACGCAGCCAGACAACTGTGCAACACAAACTAACCACGTCAAGTCATTGATTTTACCGGTCTATACTGCACACACTCCGAATGGTTAACTTAGCTCAGTTTGTATTCAGGCCATTGAATGGTCGTCTTCGTATCCATTCGGTTAGTAACAAAGGAAAGATTTGGCGTTAAATGCAGCTTTTATGGCATCTCGTCAGTTGCGTGGACTCTAGTAGCCTGGCGTTCAAGGTGAACATCCTCCAACTTCAGCAGCGCATGCTGGATGCACATAAATAATCACATCTAAACAAAGTAGTACTTATAATACATTCTAAGAGTTTACAAAGCATAATTTTGCATTGGTCTTTGCGCAGCTGACGTTTTTGTGAGTGTCACAATTAAGGAACAAGGCACGATAATAAAACAACTTTGCCGACCCTCCACCGTATGGAAGGCCAATACTATCGAATGGAATCTATTCAAACCCAGAAAGTCTCCGGTAGACGCGGTTTTTTCGTGTATTCTGTGTATTCTGTCTATATAAGCCGGTTAACTCAACAGTAATAAGGATGACTACAAGCACATGATATCTTCTTGGAAGGATGTGTGCTACTGTTCTGGAAATTAACGTAACCTTCTAGAATGCTACATTCTCTAGTGTTTTCCTTCCTATAGTCAAGCGAAAAGACACGAACAAAGTTGCCATTCATCAGCGACTATCTTATCTAGAACTACCTTTGCGCGTCGATTTCATAAGCACAAACCGTGTTTTCTTGGAGTAGTCGTTTGCAGTTGTTTCAGCTGTGGTTGCTCTTTTCAACTAAATAATTTGTTATCGTCAGTAATCACTATCACTTGCTTGCCTAAGAGAAATGTTTTCGGATATATTTGCAAGAGGCTTCTGGTCTAAGTCGTTTTCGAAACTTCAGATCTGTCATCATATAGGGCACTAAGCCCAAGCGAGTTCGATCAATGTAAAAGAGTTGCGGAATTCGAAAAAATGATCCAAATCACAAGCGATTGCTGTGCGTCTATTACGATTGGCTTTTTGTGGCAATATTGTCAAAGAGTTTTCAATATAATTACGACTGAATCCTCCAGTACTCAGTAACTAAAAAATGCTGAGGAAGAAACAGTATTCTGCGAGTATTCGTTTAGGAGGGTTTCATAATATTCTGAAATAAATGAAGCAGTTGGATGGCATCGTTGTTTAAAGCCAGAAATATTTGATGAAAATAGCCGAACTAGTCTAGTGATTCAGTGAATGAGAGCCAAAAAATTGCTTCACATGTGGTCATTAGCGGGCCGTCGAAAGCTCGTGTCTATCCTTGACCTTTCTCAAAGGAAACAACAATACTGTCCACCTACTATCAACAACATTAAACCGGTCCTTACTTACTTCCGTTTGACTACACAGATACTTGACTAGCAGGGGTAATTTATGGATTGTATATCAGTAGACAGAATAATCGCATTACCTCTTCTTCAATATTCAGAGTCATTTGCATTGCTTCTCAGGTGCTGGTTTCAGCCGTCAAAAACCGTACTCAGCATAATCTTGGTTGTCTTCATCAAATTCGCTATGCTCGTCACCAATATAATATATAATTATCATCACCATCATCAAGAGCACTGGTCTATGAAGGGATGGAGGTATTGCATACTGGTACACATGGTTGCGAGAGGGGGAGACTTAGTCGAATTCACAAACGATCACTGCGGCTAAGTGAGTGTGACGTTTCCCAACGAACTACCAAATAGCGGTAGAACAGATGGAAATGAGGTGCCCAATAACACAACTCGTGTCAGAAGATTCCTCTTTAAGAGGTTTCGGTAAAAACGATTACAGTAAGAATTCTACCGAAATGGTTTAGCCTGAGTGTGGTTTTGTTGCCCCGGCAGATCCTTTCAGCTGAATGTGCATTTGGAGGGACTGTACAGCAACAGCAGTAGAAGTATGAGACCTGGAACCAAGTCGTTAGTACACCTACCGTCATTCTATAATAGAAATGGGTCAACGATAAAATTAGAACAAAACACGATGCTCAAAACTATCGTTTTCACTCTTGTCCTCGCTCAATATTTTCAGGAGGAAAACGATGCCGTTCGGATCATTCAGAGAAATGCTGAGCGCCTGTTCAACCCCTGGGTTAGGTTGATGCTTGCCCTAAGACCGCTTCTCAAATCAAATCGCATTGAAGAGGAACTGCTCTATCTACGCGTAAGTTGGTCGCATTTTCCAACAGCGTTCTAGGCAAGACACATCACACCCGAAGTGAAAACAAACTTTGAAGTTTTTGATAGGACTAAATATAACAGGACCATCCACCCAATACCTCAGGTACTGAAAAACGACAGTGGTGTTTTCAAATTCGTTACCTTAAGTGACCAATTTGTTTGACAGAAAAGGTGAACACAAGTCTGCAGCTAATGACTTCAACCGAGAAGTGGTGTTTACCCAATCGCCGACCAGCTGAAAGCCACATGATTTCCTTCAGAACTTGATGTGACTTACAAGACCGATTTCTATAGACCCTTAACGTAACACCGTTTGTCAACTCAGTCACATTAGAATACATGATTACCAATCATTTTGACAGATTCTTAAAGGGAGTGAATCCATTTAAGATTCTGACGTCACTGGTTACCATCCAAGGCAACATCCTTGCTTTAGTTTCTTTCACAGTTAACATATTTTTCTTATTGACAGAGTGAGCTCGAACGATACAAGACCTTAGTGAAAATGCTGCGGTATGAGAATGCGGAATATCAGTCCAAGGTCGCAAACCTACTACAGCTGGTGAGTTATCGATTACTTGTACGTATAGTAAACTGCAGACCTTAAATTATATCTTTGTTGTAATGCCGTGAGGACGAACGATCAGTTTAGTTTTTTAAGCACATTTTCCCATAACTCTGGTTGCCTCTAGGCACTCCTGACATTCCACTTGAGGATCAACCGGATGTCTAGGGCTAAACCCGGACTTGAAGATCTAATCGTATCCAACTACATAGGGACTGGCTTTATTTACTCACGGACTTAATGGAGAAAATATCTGAATGCAGTATTCCGTATGCACCACTGCGCAAACTGCGATTAAGCGTTACGCAAGACAAGCGTGTCCGGACAAAACACGTGACACCTGATCCAGTTTGCCAAAAGTTCACCTTCAAACTATTTGTGCTAGATCATGTACTGAATTTAATTAACTATACACCCGTTTAACACACTTTTTGTCGATTCCAGCGACCCTCTTTTCTTGCATAAGTTGTTGCTTAACCAGGGTAGGTTTGTTGCAATGAGACAGTCACCCCAGTCGATCTGTAGTACTTGAAGTTCGTATCTATCGGTTCCAGTCGGACAAACACCACTTGGGTAAAACATTGACATCACCGCTCGAAAGTAGAGCATTGTTATTGCATTGTGGTTCATCGCCATTATATACACTGAACCTAGAGGACTAGATTTAGGTCATGGCGTTAATTAAAACGAAGAATTGGCAGATTACTTTTGGCCTCACGAAGATGGGCTTGAAGAACCAGGAAAGCACTGAGGTGGGTGAAGCTGTGCATCAGTGTCCTACTATCCGTCAACTTAGTTATCTTTCGCATCCATACGCGCTATTTATTCTCTTTTGCCTAAATAAGGACCATCATTGGAGTTGATAAGACTGTTCCCGCAGAACGTTTGTTTATAAGTCTAAAACTGAGCTACGAATCTACCACCCGACGCACTTTGTCTCGCTAGTCATAAACAACAATAATATTCGTTTTATTACACTTTTAGTTGGGTTTTGTAGAAGGGTCGAAAGTGAGTGCCCAGTGCGCCCTTACGGGCGTCTTAGCTGAGGCGTTTTTGTAATGGGTGTGCATTTCACTGAATGATAGATGAAATGACATCTGTAATGACGTAGCTCGAAAGCACTTTTCTTCTGGCGTTAGTTAAAATTCATGTGGCTTGTTTTCCACAACAAATACTACGAGGTCCAAGAATAGCTGGTCATCTAAACAAAGTTCTGTAACAAGAGTTTAAGAACGCCTTCGTTATACATACAGCACACCCTCAGTGATTAGGAAGAACGTGACCACATGACAAAAAAGTAACAATGCGAAAGGTTGGATTTTTACTTTAATTTTCACGTGAACTTGACTCGTCATATATGAATGATAACCAACGAGTGTCGTGTCTGCCAGTAACAACCTTAGTTACCTCCAGAGCATCTGCTCTGCGTACTAAGCAGATGCTAATCGTAAATGGGTTATAGCTTCAGTGCAGAGCATAATTCAGCATCGTTTCTTGTCATAAACACCTTGAAGAGAAGGCATTCGAACCAGCACCGCATGTTCAATGTAGGTTGTGACGTTTTGACCGGAAAACACCTGTTATGGTAGCGTAGAATCGCCTAACGGGACGGAGTGTATGATCGTTTCATCAGAGGCTGAACAGACTGGGACTTGACATGGAAATGTCGATGTCATTCTCAGGCTATTGTGCACACTGGTTCGCATTGAAAGCCAAGAGTAAAATACATGCAAAACCAAAGGTCCAGCTCATGCGAGCATGGTCGTATCATGAGTTAATTTGCTTTTCTACGGTAGACATGCCTCCTCTTCATCACTTATGGAAGGGAAAACACGTCCTTTAGGTTCATCCAGGTAACTGTGTCTGTCTGAGGTGGTTGGATAACTGAAATATATTAATGTAGGCAGAGGAAACAGTTGTTGAACCTATGCCAAGCAACATATACACTGTGGTTTCAGGCCAATAATAATAGTAGTATATTTTGGAAAAAATTATCATTCTTTCATTGAGAACCTGGAGGGAAGGCGGCCAGAGTCACACCTTAATCTTCGTTGTCATTACCAGTATCAAGACCCGTTGAACCTAATCTCACCTGCTTCTTTTCAGATTGAACAAATCAACAGCAAAGGGGCAGGCAACGAAGTGGTCACCAACCTTGTCTCACAGGTAGGTTATTCATTAGTTAGTGACTCCGACTGACCTTTTTCCAGTGAAAACAGACGATATTCTCTTGGGTAGCAGCATATTCTATTTACCGGGCTGTATTGTGGCACATTTGTAATATTCATGCTTGTTTATTGGTGGAACCGCCTGTGTACGATATTTCTTGAAGGGACGCTGGTTATAATTTTTTCGAAAATTCTTTAGCTGTTCATAATCGGGTTCGCTACCTTTCTGGGTACTTGTGTGAGCGCAGTTTCCGAATTTCCACCAAGAATATATTTAAACCCAAGGTGTACAAAAACGAGGGATTTAGTCTTCGTTAAGGCCAAGGTGATTTGAAAATTTGGGTATTCAACGAACAGTGCACAGTTTGGGTTCAAGTGAGGCATGATGCTGATGGAAAATTGGAGACTGTGCTTGCTTAATGGGTCCCAAGTAGCACAAAACCGGTTGTGTGCTGTAGAAGAGTTTTCAGCAAACCTATGGATAGTGTTGCTTCGAAAAATGTAAGTCTGTTCAGGTGGTATTGAATAAAATTTGATTGGTTTGTGCATCGTAGGCCCGGTTTTGTTAATAAACCGAGTGCTTACATTGCGGCACGATTGGAAACTTCATTTTCCTTAACCTCGGATAGGAAATGATAGCGGTAGTAGTACGATAACGGTTAGAGTTCGGTCAATCTGTACATACATCTTGTTCATCAGAGAACAAATATATTTCCGGGTCATCCTGATTGCCTCTTTATTTTCTACCAGTTCAATATACATTTAGTCAGGTAAATCAAAACAGTGGAAAGCCTACTAAAATCCACCAAAAAGGCCCCTTCTTTGGACAGATCATTGCAAAGAAGATTTCCTGGTAAGGTGGAGACGCTTATGATTTCCTCTCACCTCATTTTATCCTCCTGTAGAGAGTCAACTGCCTCCGTTTACAGGAGGCTTCTGTCTTGATTCGATAACTTTAAGTTGAACCTAGCTGTCAAAATCACTTTATGCTTCTACTGAGTCCAATCGACCGTCAGACAGTGTGCCGTACATGGCGTGGTGGTAGCTACAGTGGATCAGTGCTTTGGACTAGAGTGGAGTTAAACATAGTATTCCCAGTTAATCTTTTAAAAATGCCCCATTAATTCCTGTTCGTTTACTAGTTTCGAGTGCGACTAGGGAAAAGTAGTATCATTCACGCGATTGGTTGACGAAAGTGAAAAACATAAAACGGCGAAATTCTTACTGGCAAGATGAAATGCTTCTTTGAAACCCCGTATGAAAATCGCACCACTACTTGAAAATTGTGGAGGCTTGATAAGACTTTCCCTCTTGGCAGCATAAATATTATTTAGACACCTTCAACGCTTCGCAAATCGTGTCACTGTGTTGCTTTATACAGCCGCTGTAGCGACAGGCTGGAGCAAGGGAACTTGATGCCCCGCTATTTCCTATTCTAAGGGCTGCTGCGGTTAGAATACGAAGAATAAAATACATATCAGAATACTTGCTCCTTGTAGGGAATTTGCATAAAATCAGCACACGAGTGTTCTAACGGCTTACGGTAATCCAACTAAGGGTTATTCACCCAAAATCAAGAGGAATCTGCGCTTCTACATAGCACCATCTGGCTCAAAACTATGGTATTATCCACAGAAATAAACGAGTCAGCCAGTGTGCATATCGACGGTAGTTTTCTATAACCCCTTTCATTTTGCCCATGTAATGCCAATTATTATTTGGAAGATTGTGTTACGATTGCAAGCCAGCAAAGTACACTCAGTTGCAAACAGATTTGGTTTTGTGAGACACCCACCCGGAACCCAGATGAATCTCTCGTTTACGATGAGTGTGTTACGCCTTGCATGATTTTGTTTAGTCCCGAGTGCCTTTAATCTAGAACATATCCTATTCATCACTTTGAAGAAGGTAAACGCTTGGGTGGCTGCTTTGTATAGGTTGTACAGTGTGATTATGCTGTACTGAAATTACATCGTGAGGAGTTATGGTCATCGTGGATGTTGGTTTGCAACTCAAGAAGTTCGCACTGGTTTGTGGCCCATAAACTGCTATGTTTTCTGTACAAGTAGTGTCACACAAGGGGGCCGAAAAACAGGCAGATAATTCCGGAAGAGTAGTCATACGAATTGCATTATCTGCACGTCGCGGCTCAGTGACAGACGGCGAGTCCCGACATTGGCAGTTCAAGCAACCGGGTCTGTAAACCCTTCAAGCACTAACCCTTGTTCGTCGTCACTACTTCCGTGGTAAAAAACTCGCAAGGTTTGAGCTCGACGACACTGACCGGATGTATGACTGACTCGTCCTCGCACAAGTACATTCGATTGCTCTGTATTGGAGTGGTTGTGGGTTTCTAATTATTCTGGCATTTATACTACATTCTCTGATATTTAATGCCTATTGCGTAGCTTTGAAAAGTCAGTACTGAAACCATGCCGCTGTTGATTCCGAGGCATCTGTGTCATTTTAAGCAGCAAACAAGGCATTCATGTAACGCTTACTCCTTTTCCATTATTCTGATCAACTTACCAAGGATGTTAAATTAGTATAAGGAGATGAAGGGCAGCTCGAACCATTGTTGGACCAGCATGTAGCCCAAAATTTTTTTTAACCTTATCTGGATGTCATCGGTTTGCTGTATCATTTTAAGCAGCAAACAAGGCATTCATGTAACGCTTACTCCTTTTCCATTATTTTGATCAACTTACCAAGGATGTTATTTTAGTATAAGGAGATGAAGGACAGCTCGAACCATTGTTGGACCATTGTTGTGGCCCAAAATTTTTATTTAACCTTATCTGGATGTCATCGGTTTTGTAAGTCTTGTGAGGTTTAATGGTTTGGAAAACTGAGGTTCTCC